TGTCACACTTTTGGATCCCTGATTTCTGGAATTACTCAAATGACATGTGACAGACCGTACCTTAACCTACATAAATGTACTTGTCAACCGGCTAATCGAACAACCACAGTTGTCACCAGATGCCACAAACTCCAGGCTCATTCTTCAGTAATTTTGGTTAATTTCCACAAAGAGAGCATGGAGCAAATGTAACAGAGTCGACACAAAGCCCAAAGGCTTCTTGAATTTCAGATACCCTACTTTTGGTGAACTTTGTACAAGGAATAAAGAACGTGGGTGTAAGGTAACTGTTGTCGTTACTTTTGATTGTTGAATTCAAATTGGTTACCTTGACAGCATGACACAGAACAAGTTCTTTGAAGTAGTTGTACGTCTGCTCCAAGTTCCCAAAGGGTGTTTCTGTCAAAGGAAAAGAGACAATTATATAGTGGGACTGAGATTTAATACATGAACTTTCATCAAAATCATTACACTTGTCAGAGAGCTTCCAACATGGAAGGCTCAACTGAATTGATGGACACCACCCTAGAAAAAGTAAAGGGAAAAATTTCAAGTGTTTTTTATCAATGACGGAAAATATTGGATCTAAAATCAAATTTCAAAGCTCGACCTACAGAAGCTGACAAGTACAATCGACATTAATTTATAACAACATTACCCAGATGTAAAGAAATTTTATGAGCTGTGAAAAAAAATCAGTTGAATGCTGGATCAATATTAAATCCTGACTTAGAATTCGACTGAGATTACACATTTCCACTTGGCCGATATAAAACACAGAGGTAGACTACAAGCGTTACTGGCACGTCTGGTCTTCGCAAAAGGGATATCCAATGAGATGAGAACTCACCGCTGCAAACTTCATGAGTCTTCTTGACGATAGAGAAGAAAGCACTGAGCTGTTCCTTGTTGAACCCGTGGTCCAGTGCAAACTGGATGGTATAGTAGTAGAGATCTAGCAAGACAGCCGATGACGAATTGGACTCGTCATCGCTGAGCTTGAATTGATCAGCTAGGAGGCTAGAAAGCAGTTCAAGAGAGCGAGCTTTATGCTACCTGTAGGTACAATTACTGTACAAAGAACTGTCTTAACCATTTCCTGCCTGGTGCTTTTAAAAATGGAGTGCCTACACACGGGCAATTTTCAAGATTTCCCTTTTTCAACGTTCTCTGCAAATTCGTAATTTCATTTAATGGACGTTTACACCCACAAGAATGACTGTCTGGTGACTACTCTAATCTGACAGGCAACTTCCACTGACGCCCGAGTATCTCAGCCAGGCCTGTCACCCAGTAAACAGAGCCCAGGATTGTGAGGTGCTGCATAATTTCCTTTGTTCCCAGTGAATACCAGTGCCATCTTTTCAAACGAGGCTGGATTAGAATGCAGTGGTAATGTATTGCTCATCGATGGGGAGCTGGAGCACGTTTGTCCGCGGTGATAATTTGCAAACGCGCTATGCCGAAAACAGTGGTATTCTGTTTTAAAACAATGATAGATTACCTCAGATAAATTCAAGCTGAGAAATGATGGCAATTCCCAGCAGCGGGTCTTGTGTTCTGAGTATGGTCTTTTATAACAAGGCCCAGCTCTTGTTCGATTTTGGGCTCCCTGGCTATGCGAACAAACCAAATCTACCTGAAACCGGGTTCCCCGGCAGTACATGGTTAAGATATGATATTAATGAGATATGAACTTATTTAAGTGATTTCCACTTTCATATTTCCACTTTCTTTTGTGTCAGTCTGCACTGCAGCAAACTCAACCCTTCATTCAAACACGGACCATTTACCCAGGGATGTGCAACTTAAGCTCAGAGCTGTTTCAGTGTGCGTTACAGCCAGCACAATATCACAGCAGAAATTGAGTTGGATTATGTAACACTTTCTCTGATAATAAAACATATATTCCTGTCTACCACTTTGTTTTCTTGTAATATTTCAAGTCAGGGTACACCCTTTCTAAAAATATGCTGCTCAAGATATTTCATCCTATACATTCTGAGAAAAGTGTACCACAAAATTGAGGAATTTCGCCTCACTAAAACTTCATTTTTCCTTGAAATCGATAAATGAAGAAGATTTTTTCGTCAAAACGAATAGATTTAAGCACCGCGTCAGTGCGTCGTCTCGGCATAACCATAGCTGCACTGTACATGCTGCAAGCTACAACGCACGTCATGCGGTCGCGAGTTTTTTCGAGAAAGTCGAGAGCGCCTGCGGGGGTAATAACAATCCGTAACACGCATGGAACCAAGGTCACACATGTGTTTGCACTGGGGCCGCTCGCGGTTGCACATCCCTGGGTAAATGGTCCGTGATTCAATCGTCGCACTTAGTTTGGCATTTTGATAAAAATGAACGTTATCTGAAGGGGAAAAAAGTTTAGGGTTCCTCATGACTGATATCCTGCTCTGGTTCAATTTCAGGAAGAAACAAACAAATCAGCCGACTGTTACTTCACTTGGGGCTTGATTCCCGGGAAGGTTAAAACACAAAGAATGTATCAAAGTTGAGAATTCTAAAAGATTGAGAAGGTCTTCTATTAAGTTCCCCTTGGAGTTTTATGTAGAGGGAGAGTCTCTAATTTCCAACTTTGCTATTCCACCAGGGACCCCACAAGTTGGAAGAAACCATTAACCCAAGAAATCATTGTCCAAGATAATCATTTTTATCCTGGTGATTGGCACGACTGCTCACCTGCGGACTTCCTCCAGGGAGCCTGCATTGATGATAGCCTCGGCTTGGAAGGCATCGAGATCAGCCCTGTAAAAAAGACGAACAAATTACACATGAGTGTTTTCCAACTATTCAAGACTGCCAGAGAATGATTTCTTTAGGAAATGTGTAACAAAGGGCAACTCACAAGATCACATTAACAACTTTCAGCTTCTTTATCTCAACATTATAGCTACATTTTGTTTGACGATGACTGCAAACTACTTGCACTATACAAGGGCCTACTCATCTGCTTCAAATAAAGAAAATCGGTACAAACATTTCCTATAACTTATAATACTTACCAGATAGCCACTTGAGCCTTGTGTTCTCTTGGCTGTGAAACCAAAATATTTTTAAAAACCTTGTTACTGCAATACAGGGACCCGGGCTAGGCCTAACAAAACCATCAAAACGTGGACATAGAGTAGGTACCTAAAGAAAATATGGATGCAGCTTGACACCCTGTGCACAAAGCCTATGAGACTGGTCTGAAAAATTTAAGTGTTTTCTCAGTAAATGACTTGGTGTTTTCCTTCCTAAATTGAACTTTTCTGGACATGTTTTTGCTTTCTGATGGCTAATGGGTCACTGTGAGGAATAATTACTGGAGTCTGTATATGGAACTCTTCCCAACCTAAATTCCAAAAAATATTTAATTTGTAATATGATTTATATTGATAATAATAATTAATAATGATTATTATTACCGAAAATGGGTCACTTGGGAGACATTCCCATAGGAACGTGCACAAAATTTTTCAAACTTTACCGTCCCATAATTCAATATTCCCTAATCCGATCTTAACCAAACTTTGCATGTTTTCCTTTCAGACCCTAATCTATCATCTCTCCAAATGTGGACTAAATATTTTCCTCCATTTGGTAGTTGGAGCATTAGGGAGACATTGAAATGTCTCCCTAATGACCGATGTCTCCCTAATGTTGAAAAGTTTACCCCAAAATGTCTCCCAAGTGACCTATTTGAAAATATTACAACATTTGAGGTGCGCTCTCCACAACGTTTCAAAACACCATTATTATCCCTGCACATTGGGCTCACACATCATACCAACATTCCTCAAACCATCTCAGCTCCCTGGGGAGTATACTAGCCTGGTGCTGCCATTTTGACACAAACGGCTAAACAACTGTGTCTGCCCTCACAGGTACCCATTTACTCCTGGGTGGAGAGAGGCACATAGGAGTAAAGTGACTTGACCAAGATCACAACATGCTGCCACCAGCTGGATTCGAACCCCTAACCACTAGGCCACATGCATCCTCCTCTCTCAAATCTTATTTTTGTCATCCTTTTTTCATTACATTGTGCGATAATTAAAAGCCCCCTAGGGGTTGAACACAGGAGAAGAAATCTCACAGACACATTTCTCTCCAAATAAATGACAACCAGCGTGCACCACATTCAAACACAAAATATAGGCTAGCCTACATGTACATCTAGGCCTACATGACATGACAACCCGGTAGTCCGGGTTTGAAGGGGAAATTTCTCTTTTCTTCTAAAAGCTCAATTGCAGAATACCCCGCCACCCCGCATGATCAACCTCATAGCCAGGTACAAGTCAAAGTGTCACATTCTTCTTAAGAGCATTTCACCTTGTACCCAGATAATCAGTCATTCTAGGGGTCGTGTTTTAGAGTGGCAGGGTATTCTGCAATTACTCTGGTAATTAGACTCTGCTATCGCCCAACCATGCCCAAATGTTTAAAAAGGCGATTTAAAGGGTCCACGTTACTCGCACTAGGCCTACGGCATTTCACAGGCTGATGGCGCCGGCGATTTGACTGCAAGTCTGAGAGTGAGAGCAGGCCTACTTCATCTGTCATAGCCCCATTAACGTGGCCTACGATACGCTGTGCTCCCCTACAGCCACATGCCCATATACCAAATTTTTGTTGACTTTTTCAAGCCCTTCGAAATGAATGCATTTTCACGATTGGAGTTGCTCGATGTACGCCATACCCTTTCTGCTTCCAAATCAATGCTTCACTGCGTAATCTTACCTCCTACTTTTTGAGAAATTTGCAGCTAATTTTTGAACTTCATACGTTCGTGCACATTGACGTACAGCTTGAATCATCATGGGGTCAAGTTTGTGACCACTAAACCGTGACCTACATTATGCAAATACGGCTCCAGGGGTTCAGATGCGACGGCTAATTCCTGTTTACCCACGCATGGGCTGGCAGTCATGGCAGTGAGCAGTTCATGCCTATGGGCATGTGGCTGTAGGGGAGCACAGCGTATCGTAGGCCACAATTAGGCCTATGGTATGGGGCTAGGCCTACATCTGTCGCTGACGAAAAATTGGGGAAAGAGCGAGTTCTAATCACTAACCTGTGGTATTTTCGGCACAACTCCCGGCATAGTAGATTCTTTTTCCATCGACAATGCTTAGTTCCTTGCTTTAAAATGCTTGGATTATCATTTACGCACAAATTCCATGGCAAATATCCCCACGGACAAGTTGGACGGATCTCGCGCAGTTTGTGGTCACCATGGGAAACTAATGCGAAACTCTTGAGGGCGCTATACGAACTTGGCTGTTTAAAAAAGATTTATGTGAAATGGGGTGGCCGGAGGCACGCTTTTTTCAAGGAGGTGTGAATAAAGGTTGTGTAAATCTCATGAATTTAACACTTTAAAGGGGTAGACACTCCTCAGTAGCGTATCCAGGGGAGGTACGGGGCAATTGCCCCTAGACAAGTTCCCATTTTTAAAAGGAATTGAAAAAAAACCCTGAAAACGCTACACTTCAGAGTTAATGGCATCGTTATTCTTTAGGAGCATATTCTTTTAGTAGGAATGAGGCAGACAATCGTCACTGTTCTGGGAAAAGAAATTTTGTCACTACCCGGGGGGCTCAGATATCCGCATTATCTACCCTTGTTATTCATAGCCTGTATCTATCTGTTCGTCGGTCATTTCGGATGTGACCGACAGAATCGGCTTTTATTCTTGTGATTACATTATGTAGCAGGCTGTCACCTTGAACTTCAGACAGAATTGAAGAGATAAGTGCCAATGGGATCGTGTTTGCACACCTCTCAGAAACACAATCATCCTCCAAGAAGTGGCCACGAGAAAAATTATTATTCATATAATCAAAATATGTGAAACTAATAAAACCATCAATTTATAGATAATATTTTGTTTTTTTGTGTGCCTCTTCTTTTATTATCACAAAGAACTGATTTTATAACTGCATCATGTTTTATAGAAAGATTACTTTAAGAGGAGAGCGTTTTGACATCGAGCCACGCTGAGGGGGCTATTTTTCTTTTACGTTAGGGTGGGTCGATTTTGCGGATGATCTCATAATTTGTTTGTCTAAATTTTCTGAAACTTTGAACACAAGCAAAGTACATTCCACTGAGGCTCAGTGAGAAAACAAACCAGTTGCAAGAACATTTCTGAAATGCAGTCTGGCCTCGGAAGTATTTCCCTTCAGGATTTTTGGTTCATCTTCTGGCAAGCGACTACCAAAAAAGCGAGTCCAGTGTCAAATATGTTTCGAGATCACAATTCAATTTATTATTTTGAAATTGAATCAGTTATCCATTTTTAAAATTAACCACAATAAGCAAAACGGGTTATAGTAACAGTAAATCTTACAACATCACATCGAATGATAGTAGTTGAAAGCAAAAATAGCGAAAACTTTCATCACAATTCTGGACCATTCCAAATGTCCACAGTTTCGTAGTTTGATATGAGGCAAACAATCAAAGTAATCATAAAGTACAATCATTTTTAGGAATTCAGATAGGAGTTTGATATCATTTCGTAATATTCGAACTGATCATGCGGTTTTATTCTTTCATTTACCACGGGCCTTTGTTTAGTTTCCAATCTTCGTGGAGCAGGTAACGTCATTCATGACGTCATTATTCTGAGGGCGAGCTCATAATCCTGCATCACTGATTTACTATAACATTTGACAACAGCTACCAAACCAACTTATCGAATCAGTGTTTTCAGACGCCAATTTCAACATTTAAACGGCAATGTTACCTTAGAATGAACTAAAAATTCAAAATAGAGGTAGGCCAATATCTTTGTTTTAGGTCACACAAATGGAAAAATTTGACATCGACTCCACAAACATGCAACCTTGAAGACACGGCAGACGACTATATCATTTTTTAGAAAGATATTAAAGTCAATTATAAACTTTCTCTTTTGTAACATCCATATTGCCAAAAACACGTATATTACTCCCGGTTACACGTAAGGCTAGCGGGTTTAATTGAAGAAATCGTATACACGGACTAAAATGATGCTGGTTTGCACGCATCGACATAAAGGCATATTAAATAGAAATAGAAATATACTACTACTGTTATTGAAATACTTAGCATATTGATTATAAGTTTTGAAACCATGTTTATCATATGAAGTACTGCTGCTTATCATTTATTCTACTTTTAAATTTCTACTATCATTTATCGATAAAAGGGAAAATTGAGAGCAAAATACTTAGTCACATGAAAAATTGAAGTAACAAGAATAAACAAAAATTAATTAATACAGATACCTTATTCCCGGAATACTTCTGGGCTAATTCATCTAATAGCTAGCAACAATAGCGCACAAATGACACTTGACTTGTGCGCTGTAATGTTCACTGTCTACAGTAATCAACGTGTACCAGCGTGCACAAGGCAAGATGACGGGTTCATAAATCCTCCGAAATCGGCGCTTTTTGCAAGTTTCACAGTTGGCAGACCATGTACTCCAAGCTAATTAGGGAATTGCCCTTCAAAGTGATATACATGAATAAGCAGTGATATAATATTGCTCTACACGAATCTAACAATAAAACTTAAAGTATCTCCACCCAACTGGAGTAGGCCTACTATGTAGACATGTATGACGTCATCGCTGCGATTTTGCAACCAGTTCCATGATGAAATCACACTTTCTGCCCTTTTTATTTTCGCACTTTGCAATCCAATGACATACTTCTATTTGAATGAAACTTCGTTAAGTTCACGGTTCTTCTGAAATACGACACAGCATTGAAGTTAGCTGCAAATTTAACATTTGTTATATATAATTGTTTCATCGTGAATGCCATATAAGCAAATTATTTGATACAAATAGATACAGTCTGAATAATATTTGTGAAATCATAATGTACAAACAGCACTTTTTATGCGTTATTATGTACAAATTTTAACAGAAACATCTTGAAAATATAATTATGCAAAAGCGTCTTTAGTTTGTTCGTTCTGTAGAAGAGATTTGAAGTAGTAAAAGAAGTAATATGTAACCGTCTGTTACTAATAAAAGAAGTTGTGGAAGAAGGGGTGGTCAGGGGGGAAGGAAACAGATTTATAGCCCCAATGATCGTTTTACATAATCATTCATGAACTAAACGGGGTGAAATCAGTCTCAATATGAGAGTGATAAATCATGCAAACACCCTCGCAAAACTTGCCAGTGATATCTTTCGATCAACGAGGCCACAATGAGCCCAGTCACTCACGAGGTATAAATGACACGATTCGGAAATGCGTTTCCTGACAATCTTCACAAGATGAAGGGGAAAAATATGGAAAACATACTCTCTTACTGAAAAGTTCGCGCCGCGAATATTGCAAATTTCACGCGAGAATGGCTTTCCAGAAAAAGAAGATGTAACAAAGGAGTGCCCAGTGTTTTCATTTCAGAATAACGCCCACGGTTGAGGTCGCCGGAAAGTAAACCTACATCTATGAGGCCAACACATTAAAATATCCCACTTTTGGCGCAAAATTAAGGCATAACTAATGCAGAAGTAATAAGCACGGTTTAACAAGTAATTCAAGTTTTCACTATCCTACATGAAATCTTGTAAATTTTTCATTCAAGCAATTATTCAGAATTTTGTAATATTTACCATGAAGGAATGTTAGAGATGGAAAAGGTTTAAAAACATTGATATATTTTGATTTTCTTTACAAATCCGTTATAAAAAGGATAACAAGTTATATCTTTATACGACGGTCACCACACGCCGAAAACTTAAAACGTGGTAGCATTCAAATAAATCAATAAAAATCGATAATGAATTTTTGAATGTTTAATGGCAAAACATGTTGGATGACTGTTTATAATGACTAAAACATGACAGTTGATGAAATGGGTTAGCTTAAAGGTTATTCAATTGATCTAAATGTGTCGCGAATTAGTATTATAAGAAAAACATCCGCGCGCTACTTAGAAATTTGTGAATTTACTTAACCTCACCCACTAAAGAAAGTCGAGTATAATGGAGCAGATGAAGTCAGGGTTCCAACCCTGGCCAACTCGGCTTAGATTCACGTGCTTCAGCCACGAGATGCCGATTGTATAGTTACCGATGAACACCACGGGAATAGCACACCCCTCCTCGATCGATTACTTCTTTTTTCCTTCACTTTTTTCCTTCAGGGTGGCCATTGATACTGTGGAGTAAGACAAATAGAAACCAATTAAGCCATTATTCTTAACCGCGCTTTGCTCCTAATCTAAGTAAAGCTCCTAGGTCAGGTGAATGAAGTCCACATTATTTTCTATACATTTGGAGAAGGTGAGTTTTGACAACGGATATCTACGCTCTTTTATTCTGAGCAGGAAAAGCATTCATCTCTTCCCATTTTACGAAACGAAGATCCTGAAACTGTTTGCCTTATTGCAACCGTTGGCATTTTTCGATCGGTTAGAAATGGCTTCGCGTCACTGCGCTGTATTGAAAAGACAGTGAAACATCATGAAATATGCCAGTGTGGGATGTGAGCAGACAGTGCATGGATCAGTATCCACCTTTAGAGAGATTGAAGGATATATGCTCCAAAAATATTCTATAAATGCGCCCATCCACCATCAGGGACGAATCCAGAGCCAAATTTTCGAGGGGGGGGGTGTTTCAGGAGCAAAGGTTCCGCATTTTCTTAATATGAGACGTTTCACGAGTTTTCAAAAGGGGGTCTAAATTTGGGGACTTTTTCGACGCTTTGGGTAGAAAGGAAAATGAAACATTCCAAAGAGAATTGCCTGTCATTCTTTTTCCAAAATGGAGCCGTGGCTCCGTTGGCCCCTACCGATGTCGACTGCAGTATATATTTCCACGAAGTACCTCAAAATTCGACCACTTTTTGACCTTTCAGTGTGGTACTCACGCGTTGGAGCGAGCGTTCTGCTCAGCGTCGAAGGTTCGGTTTAGCTCTTTAAGTTCCTCGTCGCTCATCAGGACCGTGGCCGTGATGGAACGACGGCCGATCCGGGGCTGCTTCATCTGCATCAGCTCGGTAGTCGGGGACGGGGGACGGTTGAGGTCCATATCCTACCGATTTGGATTCAAGAAAAAAAATCAGCTACTATCAAACTGGGAATACTCAACGGTGAACTATGGAATGTTAGTTCAATCTCAACTATAGCACGGCTTGTGAGTGTACCAAAACAAATGAACCGGAACGGAGCCAGTTTGGTATTTCAAAAAAAGGGTAAGGTCATTCGAGAGCAAAGCACGCGGGCGAGTCGGCGCATTGCCGCGATGATAATAGTTGCTATCTCAAATGACCTCGGGCGCGCTTAATTTTGAGCATGCGCTGTTTGGAATATCAAACTGGCTTGTTGTAAGTCATTCTGAAAGGTTCGAGCGAATGTGTGAATTATAACAACTATATGATGTGATGTTTCCTGCACCATTGGGATTGAACCACGCGATGCCACAGCATCGCATGGAAACGCCTTTGTAAGCTAAGAAAAGAAAGTCACCCGTGCATATTGTGGACTGAATCGTGCAATCATGCGAAGAGGAAACTTGGCATCGCAAGCAACTTCGTTTGAAATCCCCCATGCATAACATTTCCATGTGCAAAATATACAGAACCTGGGTTGAATATTTTTGAACTCTTGAAAAACATTATGTGCGTGTGCAGCTCGAGAAATAAGACGAAGAATCTTGCGAGTTGCAGATTAGTTTGACAGATACTAACAGTACTAACAACCCCGAAACGATTTGCCATGGTTTTTCTTCTTCTATAAATAAACTCTTTCATTTAAATTCCCAGTTCCAAAGCTGGATGAGCAAGTGTGTCGTTGACACTTTCAGAGTGTAAAAATTTTGTTAAGAGAAATAAGAATGGAACTTGACAAGGTTAGTGATATGTGAATGTGGATAAAAAAAGAGTGATTAACGAGCGTCTCGGAAAGCTCTATCTTCATTCTCCTTCGTTCCGGCTACGCCAATAGCTGTAATGAAACAAACAACATCTGCACTCGCTTTGGTGCTTCAGGAATCGATCAATCTACGTGACGTGACTCTATTCTATCAATTAGTGTGAGAATCGATAATCAACCATAAACGTTTCAACTACCCTTCGAGGTTTCAGGAGAATCAACTTAGAGAATGGCCTCCGGATAATGAGATCCAAATCCTGAGGTAAGGAATAAAAGTATCACTCGAGAGAAGTAAATTGCAAACCATTCAGTCATATAAAACATTCGAAGCCGTCTCAAAATTTGGCAGCTTTTAACGACATGTGAATATTGAAGAAAAGAAATTTTGCAAGCAGTATCGATGAATCGTTGACTGAAAGAGTGAATGGAAACACCATAAATCTGTGCCATCCATTATTTTGTCAGAATTACTGAACTGAATTGAAATCATTGAATAATTTAATAGAAGCCTTATGGAACCTATGTAACATCTGAAAGCATAATTGTTCTGTGAAAGGCACGAGTGCACATGTTACACCGTCATTGTTATTTCAACTGTTTCACAAAACATGGCCGCTGGTAGAAATGGCTAGTGTTTCAGTTTTTCTGAGTGGCTAAACTCACCGTCTTATTTCTCACGTCTTCCATGGACTTGGTATGCACGGAGTTCCTGCCTCCCACCACTCCGTTGTCGTTCATCTTGATGGCGGGCGTCAACTTGCTGTCGGCCCCCGTGATGTAGACCTGAGCCCGCCGCATGGCCGATCGTACCTTGTTCTTGACCTCCTCTGTCCGGAGGGTGACGCCGAAGATGTCCTCGTGGTAGCGATTCTGGTCCTGCGAAGGAAGATCGAAATTGGAGAATTTTGAATTGTTCTAAAAAAATATAATTCAGCCCGCAGAAGGCCAAGAGCGGTCACTCGAGTTATAAACGGCTTCAGAAACAGAATTTGAATAAATCATATTCATCATAGTTGAAACAATGTCCCTACCTTATCGTTTAATTAATGGAGCAACTCAAAAGAAATATTGTTGGGCAAAGGGTGGGTCCAGAATCCAATTTTTGGGGGGGGGGTGGGGTGGTGGCCAAACTTTGGTTAGGGGTGGGGCAAAAAAGAGGATTCCTTCATGAAAATAGTATTGCCTCTCTGAGGAGTAAGGCAAATTTGGGGGCTTTCTACAGGTTTCTGGGAAGAAGAAAATAAAACAGTCCCCCTGCCTTTCTCACATTTTTAAAACGCCTCCTTTTATTTTGGAGGGGTGTCCCCAGTGTGTTTGCCAAATTTATGTGCTGCACAAAAATAGCACGGGAACCAGTAACAGATACATGTAATATAATACATGTACATGTATATGACGTTTGGCTAGTGACCAGCTTTTGCTAAGCGAATATAAGCCAAGCGAAAATGGAATGGAACGAGAATCGGTACACATAATGCAATACACGTATATGACTTTTTAGCTGGTAACCAGCTTTTACTGAGCGAATATTAGCCACGTTTTATTGTCAGAGAGATTAATATGAAATACACAGCAACTTTACTCCTGTACCTACCCTCATACTAATGACGTAATTCTTGGCTTCTTCAGCAGTCATGTTACCGTGCTCGGAAGCAATCTGCTCTAAGGTATTGCAGACATCAGCTGCCATGGACACGTCTCCACAGACGTAAAAATGTCCCTTGTTCTCACTGATTAGTTTGAAAACCTCTTTGCCTCGCTCCTTGAGGATGTGCTGGACGTAGGTCTGAGAAAAGAGATGACAAGATATCAAATAAGGCAAGTAGGAAACTCTACAAATGCAGAGTTCACATGAAAAGCCGACTGATTGGACAATTAAGTTAACGATAAATTAGTTGAGACAATTTTTAGTAAAAATGTCAAACTGACAATTCCCAAATTCAACGATACGTTTTAATGACTTTTTGAGAAATAAATAATCTACCTTCGGTTTTCCCTTTTCTCTTGAAAGAGCTGTCAAGACCTCTTTCAGCGCACCTTCCTTGACGACTTCGCTGGTCTCAGACCTGTAGAGATCGTCCAGCGTGGACTGTCTGCAACCGAACACCAAGGTCATAGCGCCAAAGTTGTCCCTCCCAACATCCTTTGCCATGCGCATGTCTATTTGGCGTTGTTGCCAGAAGCTGCGGAAGGGGGCTATGCCTGTTCCAGGGCCAACCATGATGAGCGGGTCGGAACGCTCTTCGGGCAGGTGGAAATTGGGCGCCCTGGCACAAGCACAAAAATGATGTGTCGTTATAGTCACTATACAAAACGTACCAGAAGTTCTGAAAATTTTCATTAATTTATTAATACAAAACGTACCAGAAGTTCTGAAAATCTTCATTAATTTATTAATTTTATTCAAGGTTTTCCGCGGGAAGTTATCGACAGCGGCCAGAGGAATTATTTCAGTTCGGGAACAGATCTCACGTTCTGATAAAAGCTGGAATCTCCCTCCCAATCTTGATGGTGTTCAACCATGAGGAACAGACACCATGATGCAACGGGCCATCTCCACCTATATGTCCAAACCAATCAATTAACACATATAACAACAGCAGGTGCACAGAGAAAAATGATCTCTACATTCCAGAAAAATCTGTTTTAGGATTTACCATTTTTTCTCGTAAATTCTGTTCAGTTAAAAATCAATTCAATATAAATTCTTAATGTCAATCTCAGTTATCGGTCAAGTGATTGGAAAATGGAAATACTTTATAAGTATTTGTTGATTAATACGGCGTTTCACAAAAGTGCGCCTTCATGAGTTTGAAACGCGTCGGCCAATCACAATGCACCAAATCTGTCGACCCAATGCGTGTTTGGAAAAGGTCGAAAGATTTCGCGCGTTGTGATTGGCCGACGAGTTGCAAACTCATGGAGGCGCACTCTTGCGAATCTACCGTATTGCAAAGTGAAATGGTATGTCTGTGGAGATGTGGAGCTGCAAAGGACAGGGTTATTATGTTCGGTTAATTCGGATGGATCCTAAACAAAACAGATAACTATCGATACTGTAATATTCGTATATTTTGATGAACCTCAAAGCATGACTCCTCGGTTACCTCGTGTTCGATAATTGACCACGGCCACCGTGGCGTGGATCTCGCCAGGGTACATGCGGGTGCTGGAACTGATGGAGTAAAAGCGGGGCTTAAGCAGCGGCAGCTCGGTCAGGAGGAAGGAGGCAGGCGGCCTGGCGGACGGAAACTCCTCCAGCACCTCGGCCAGGTTGGGGCTCAGGTCGAACTTCCACTCTTCGTAACTGCGCGTGTCCTGTTGGGACAGAAGATCACCAGGGTGTTTTGTGAGCCATTTTGTGCACGGTATTGATCATTGGTGTCGCCAGGATTTTTCTCCGTTTTTTGGGGGAGGGGTAGATTTCCAGAGGGCCAAAACCATCATCAACTAAAAAAGACAGATCTATTTTTATAGATGAAATTGGAATTCGGAAAAAGGACCTCGACGTGGCAGTTTCTCTATTGTCAATTTTCAATTTGCAGTCCAATTCATATTTGTATGTGTAAAAATTTGTCAGCATTTCACATTTGGATAACTTTCATTACTTTGCTGAGCAACTCCAGGGTGGTCTTTTCTTTCTGTGCGGTTGCCATGGCAGCCAGCTGACGCAGAAAGTTGGGAGAGGGCGCTATGGTGATGTCCAGGTACTGCTCCAGGGCACCTCGTAGCGAGCAGAGCGGAATCCGATCGGTGGGAATCCAGGCCTTCATTATGCCTGTTGGAAATCAACCATTATATCAATGAATCGATAATTAATTGATGAATGTCGATTCACTCACTCCTGTTCACACTTCATTAAAACAAGTTTGAGTAGACAATTTCTTAACTTACAAACAAACTCAACACTTCATTTGCACTCGAATCAAACGTGAATAATATTTAGTGCTATTTACTGATTCTGGTTATTCAAGACATGACTTCTAATCTTTAGGAATAGAGTTAAGGAATGTTGGTGGGATACGGTAAAAGATTGGACAATGATGTTCGACACTTACCTAGAGGCGTTTGTTTGACATGCATAAACTCCACTTTGATGACATCATCCGGTGACCGCTCCCCAAGGTCGACTCGTTTGATGATACGGTCGACCAGGTCTTTCTCGTTGCTGGGACAAATGGCCACGTGATCGCCCGGGTCATACAGCAGCTCAGATGCGCCCTGGGTGTCCATGTGCACGAGGATGGTAGACCGACTGATGGGGGGGGGAATACAAAATGAGAAAAAAATGTAGCAGTCATGAAAAATCGAAGAGGAAATTGTGTATTGTCTCAAAGAAATATGACATCACAACAAAGAAGAAGCAGATTTGACTTTTCGTACTTGCATCAATTTCAGTAACTTGGTGTGTTTTCTTTTCGAATTTGGCTTTAGGTTGTTCTTGACGTTGAAAATCAGTTGGAAAAGATCCCCAAAGTTTGTCGATGTATGTTAACTAAATTGTATACTCCTATATTACTTTCGAAAGGACATTGTTTCATTATATCAAGTTCATTTATTCTGCTCAATGCCAATTATTTCAAGGTGGAATTCATTTCTTCTCTTTTTCTCCAGCATTAAAGTATACCTGGAAAAGCCTATGGTACTGCATTAGCAGCGTGTAATCTCACATTGAATCAAGTTTTAGTAAAGTGTCTTTACCAGACGGTGTTAATTTCACACTGACAGTGTTTTTTTCCAGTCTTTACACTACCTTGATTCAGGCGCCTGTAGGTTCTTCCTAGCCAGCAGGATGCAAGGCAACACCTTCTTGCCGTGGAGTTTGGACAGCCCCTCGCACCTCTCTACCGCCGGATGGGTGTCCTCCAGGCCGATGCGGAACTTGTCGGCCGTCCACGACTGGTCGTTTTCCATCAGCGAGGCGTTGGCCTCGTTCATGTTGATGCCCTCGCCCACGCAGAAGGTATCACACGCTTGCTGAGAAAAAGGTTGAACAGAAGGGAAAGACCGACTTGAGAATACCAAGCCTTCTTGTGGGAAAGGTAAACCTTGAATTTCAAACGAGCACTGGTACTCTACACACACTGACAAAAACGTGCAAGGTTGAATGAACGCCAAAGTATTTAGATTAAAAATCTATTTCAGTAAACTTCTTCACATGTACATAACACACAGTGGTGAATTGACATCAAAAGTCTTGAAATATGTACTAATCATTCCTCTTAACTTGGCACCAGCCGTTACATCAGGTCTGAAGAAGCACGTCAGCCTCAACGAGCTGGAAAGGCGTGTATCTTTTTGTTGTGTTTAGATAACTCTCTTTTAGTACGCAGTGCAACCAATATAATAATTAAAAATGACACCTGTGGTGAGATGTGTAATCCAATTCAGATTTGTCAACATTGATTTCATCTCGGTGCGGGGAGTCATTATCTAAGATACCATCTTTAATTCCATCCGCTTCATAGCCGCATCAGCCTCGAGCGGCTTGTGAGGATAACTAGTTTTTACCTTGAAAACCTCCTGAGCCCATTTTCGGTAAGATTCCTCCTGGCCGCTCAGCTCGTCTCCTTCACCCATGTCTAAGATTCTCTCGCCTCCAAGATTTCCCAATAGGGTGTCCACGGCGCGGGCGTAAGCACAGAAATTGGGGTAAGCTGTCGAGCCCAGACCAAAGACGGCGAACCTGGGAAGAAATTGAGAGGAATTACCATTGATTTTTATTTATTTTTTTGCAGATTGCTTGCTGACTTGAAATTTACAAATCAAAAACGTTAGAGTGTCAGACGTGTCGAACCTAGCAAAATTTCCTCAAGTTTTTTCTAGTGTCAAGTAAAATAAGAACTGTAAATTTTCTTTGTGCGAAGCCAAGGGCGACGCCGTTTTCATTTTTTTCAACAAGAGTAAGTCTGAATGCAAAAGATGGGTGAAAGTTTGTACTCACTCTCTACTGAGTGATGAGTAAGAGTACAATCATTTCTCAGTAGCTTGCTCATTTTGATCGTTAGAAAACAACGCTTTTCAAAGATCCTAATTTTTTTCCTTATCTTCGAGACGTAGCGAGTGCACAGTTTTTAAACACGTCTTTTTGTTTCCGCCAAAAATATTCCAATGAATCCCCCGAATTCAAGCCTTCCAAAGACAACCAAACGAGTGAGGCGTATCTCCATACCTTACGTTGGCCAGAACGCCCGAACTCTCGCTTAAGTTGGACAGTCCAGCAGCTTTCTGGCTTGGCGTTGAGGGCGCTGCAAAGTATTTATCGAAGCGGAGGGCACGGCTACCAGGGGAAAAGGTGTAATTTTTCGTTTAATTTTGGAGGAAAACACGACGTACAATAGAAAAACAGGAAAGGAAATGTCTGAACCGCGATTTTTAAAAAGAATTATCAAACTTCTACGGTCAAGGAATTACAAATATAAATGCATTTACCTCTCTGGTTGGTCGTCGCTTGAATCGCGGGCAAGATCCATTAGATAACGCCCAAATTCCTACAAGAAAACAAGCATGAGGATTTTGTTCTTGGAATAACCAAAACTTTACAGAAAGAGATTCAGATTATTCTAAAGGTATAAAAGGTTTCACGACTATTACTAAACCGCTTCAGGGTCTCAGTGACGTCAATTAATCAATGTTTTCTCTCGTAGTTTGATTCCTTGATCGATCCATCGACTCCAGCGGGCCTCCCTGACCTACCTCCCCGTTCTCTGGTGGGTCGCCGTTACCGAACGTGCTGGTGACAATCAGCAGTAGCGTCTCGTGCTCAAGATGGACCACGTCGTACTCCTCCATACACATCACCTTTAAAGTGACCAGAACATCAACAGTGCATAAAGGCTGATTACTACCGATGAATTCAAATTGGACGTACGCTGGTTATCTTTCAGTCAATGAAGACGGATGATCCGAGCTCCATCTCAAGAAAAAAACTGGCTAGATTGTGAGAAATAGGTCACAACCTGTTTCCAGATAAGACTCAAAGACACGACCTCCAGCATGCAAGTGAAGTGGTGTCATCTTCATCGACAAGATTTTAAAAAAAAATGACGGGAACATTTATGTAGTGACAATGATAGAATTTGCAGTTTCATCATGAAATTGCGTATTTGAAAGACATCTACAAAAGGTCAGAAATTCACATTCAACTTACCTTAGCATCGAACGCGTGCTTGAAGATCTCGCACAATGACTTGGCGTATTTCTCTGATCGTCCGGTCTCCGTGGCGTACAGGATGGTGGCTTTGAAGCGCTTGGCCAGCGCTTTGCCCATTAGTTTGGCTGAGAACTTCACGGCCCTGATGGCCAAGAAAAAGAGATTTGAAATTACTTCAATTATTGGTTATGCATTATCTTTTATCGGTTTATTATCGGTTTATGTATTGACACGACTTGAAAGTCAAATGGAATACAGGATACCGGACGACTGGATACCGGCCTTGATTGGCTGGTTTAGCCCTGTTGAGTACTTGAAAGACACGGCTTACTTGGCAACCTCCTTGAAGGTTCGTCTGCGTCTTCGAGTCTTCTGAGCGTCAGCTGCTTCGTCCTTGGCTTTCCATACGTGAGTTGCCCATGGTGCATCCTTGCATGAATGAAGGAAAACGGTAATCAAACAACAGATCACTGCCACAAATATGCCCGAGTGTTTGAGATAGTTGTCAGAGCCCTACAATTATGAAACGTTTAATAGCACGTTCTTTGTTTAAAGGTTTGCATGTTCCCTTTGTCTTTTAAACTGGTTGACAGAGTTTAGAAAAGCCATTCAGCAAACAACGAATGTAATAAATAAAATGAGACTGAATGGTGTTAGCGGCTACACTGTTAGGTAATCCTGAATTTCGGTTTTCATTTTCTGTATTTGAAAGTAATCTTCAAAATGTTTGTTTTCAAAAGATTTCCATAAAAAGACGTAGATCATCAGAAAAGGCGGTCCTTTAAATTTCACGGTCGTAATTCAGATTCCAAACGAAATTTGCAACTGAAATGCTGCTAAACCGTAATAAGACTAACCAAATCAAGGGCAATTTATTTCTGGTTGATGAATGAGAAATTGCACGGTGCATCCTCATCAGGGTAAGTCTTTCTCTGTTGCTTTGTGACATGTACGAGTGAATCCTTTGTGCTTTAATTAGCATTGTCAGAGAATTTACATTACAAAAACTGCTCTTAGTGAGGGCGCACGACAGTCCGAAATATACGCAAATTTCTTTTCTTGATATAATTCTATTCCTCTGGGTAGAATCTTACCTGATACTCGTAGGATGGCTTGAGTTGGTAGTTCAGCATCTCCTGGTGGAACACAGGGGTGATACTGCCCGAGATGGGCGGGACGACCCACACCCAGTCGGCGGGGCAGCCCCCGCGCAGGCGCTGTTCGTTCTCCATGTGCTTCAGGAACGACTCTGCGGCCGAGTGGTGGTCGGTGATGGTCACATTGTTTTTCTGCAAGTCGGCAGGGGGGAAATGGCGATGACTTCAACAATTGAGGAAAGCCCTGTTTATTCGCTTGGGGAATGCGATAAGACAATGATACAACGACACGTCATCCACGAAGAGGGGTTTAATGTAAGATGTGAAAAGAGAGTCAACAGAAGTACCAACAATTACGTGAAATTTATGACAGAGCTATTTGGTTTGTGGAGATCTTGAAGGAGTAGAAGCCAAGAGGGTTAATTTAAGGACAGTTTTGTAATTATACTGATTTCAAGGCCATAATATAATGGGGCGTGTGATCTATCGGTAGACGTTTGTAACCCCGACGATACGAATGTTCGAGTCGAACAGCTAGTCAAATGCTGTGCCCTTAAGCAAGCCACTTTACTCTAACTTCAATTGCCTCTCCCCACCTGGATGTATAAATGAGTGCCCCCTTGCCAAAGACCGCTGGTGAGCTGAAATCGACGCCGAATCTTGCCTGACAACTCGTTGGTGGGATGGAATGCGCGAGATATGAGCATAATTGTTTGATACAAAGTATTTTACCTGGTAGCTGTGAATGACAGCTACGTTGGCTTCCACTAAGGCCTGATCCTTCCAAAGCGAGGCGTTGCTATTGGTATCCAGCCCCATTTTCTTACCAATAGTCTGATGGAAGTAAAAGAAAAAAGACAAAAAAAAGAAAAAACAGGAAAATGTTAAATTAATTTGAGCGAAAAGGGGAAGTATACGACTACGAATGAAAAAACCAGAACACCTGTTTTGATTAAAATTTGACGTAACCACCTCAATTATGACAATACAGGTGAAACAAAATTTCATTAACTTGGTCCCATTACCTCTTAACAAAGTTAAAAGGGTACAAAAAGTCAATAATCCGGTTAAAAGGCTGATGGTTATCACTAACCCGGTGAGGGTGCCCCAAATTGTAATTAACTTTGTTATAAAGGTCAAAACTGTTATTAACTTAGTTCCAATGGTCAATGTGTCACTAAAATGACTACTGTGCACAAAACTGTCATTAAATAACAGGGTTACTGGTGAATACAAAAGGTCACGATAGTGACGTCACATTATTGAGTTTATCACTTCCTGCTTTCAACGATATAAGTTGTTGAGAATCAGACTGATTCTTTGAAGATGGAATTTATTTTTACCTCCAGGAGATTGAGTCTGTTGGGATCACAGATGTCTCTTGCTCCAATCTCGGTCACCATGTACCAGCCGTTGAAGGGGCAGGCCGTGAATTCTAAACCCCCCAGGTCCAGCATCAATGCCGAGACAGCGGGGAGAGCATACCACTTCAGCCCCAAATCAGCAAACCAGTCATACCTACGGAAAGAAAAGTAAAACGCTTGTTCACTTAAATCTTGAAACGACCTCAATGAATGGGTATCTAAAATCAACTCAAGGGTAATTATGCATTGTAACACGATGCTCTAATTAAGACAAATAACAGCACTTTACCAAAGTAATTGCTTCTCAGCACGTTCAGCGCGTAGTAATTACTAACAGGCACTTCACGTAACTCGAGAATCCACGCGCCCACGCTTTTCAGTTTGTCCTTGTCTGACTGAAGCAAAACTTTCTGCGTAATTCCAGTAGCAAAAATCGGTTGGTCTCTCTCCCGGCTAATGAGCCCGAGCGGGACCAAGGGAGGGCGCAAATTTCCAAGCGACAGAGGCTCATTATGGGAACTGCCCTTCGCTGGTATACACAAACATTTATGAAATGCATTCGTTATGCGGTCTCGTCGATGCCAACGAATAAACACGCTCTTCGAGATGGCTCTTTTCAACCGATGAGGGGGTGCTTCTGCTCAAGGCGGATAGACCTTTGTACTTCACTGATGGTAAATTTTGTTCATATGTGTGCTTTCCTATGGAGCTCAAGGGCGGACGTGGGGGGGTTACAGGGGAACAATGGGGGAGGCGAGTTTGAAAAGTATGGAAACGCGTCGACGCGTGATCAATAGATCTTTTCACTAATAAATTCATAATCATGCAGACATGCGCACAAATGGCCTTGGCGGCAAGAAGTGTGAGCGGGTCATTGAAAACGTAATGGGTGCAATATTGACTATTTTCTCTCAGTTTTTGTTTTTATTCAGGTTTTTTCCCCCGAAAATCCCATTAAATCCAGAAAAAAACTGAGTGAAAATGATCAAAATCGCACCACTGTACATTTTCAATTGCCCGCTCACACTTCTGGCCGCCAAGGCTATCGGTGCACATGCGTGCATAATTATGATTTTTATTAGTGAAAAGGTCTACAGCTATTCCTTAGAATCGATGGAGGATGGCAACATGCTTCAAAGGAGAGGATGACAAGATGAATCTATCATCTCCAGAATGACTAAGAATGAATCATCAAGGCTAAAATTAATCAATCAAAAAATGACGAGCAGTCTGACAACAGGTGTAAGCTTAGTTGTTTAAAGTGATCACTGTCATTCAATACGACTTGGCCTAAAATGTGAAGAACACCTTACAAAATACCTCTAATTTGCCAAAGCTTAAGAACGGGAAAGGAGAATAAAAAATACGATAAATGCGGTGTTTTCTTAACCGACCATTAATTTACTGGTTAAATATTTCCGGCGCTATTTAATTACTTTGTCGTTGGATGGGTACACGGTGCTTGTTCAGCGGGCACTAGTTTGTCAGTAGCACACTAGGGTAGGGTTTGTGGACATGGAAGTTCGAACATAACTTTAATTTTAACAAATATGGATTTCTGAGAGAATGCAATTTATTTGTTCCTATTGAGGGGTGTTTTCTTTCATTTGGACGAGCGAGCTACCGATGAAAATGGGTTGGGACAAATGTTATCCAACAACCTGTGTCTTTGATGAAATTCTCTTCAAAAGGCTTGACCCTGCAGAGTGACTGAGAGTGTCCATTGTTAATAATCGCCCGTGGAGACTCCCTATACGTTCTTCCCACTGCGCTGATTGAATAGTCGAGAACAGACATTTTCAATGCCGTGGTAGATTATTTTTTTAATTAAAGTTCGTGCGGCGTTTCTCTCCCGCCTCTCCAAGCCAAGCTGGGTAAATTGAGGACAGCAGCGCCAGCTACGAGCCTGCGATCAAATCGGCCAAAAGCACTCCAGCCAGCGAACTGACACGAACCGGAACAACATTTCTCAAAAGCATCACTCACGTGAGAAAAAAAAAAGTTTGTAGGTAGTTGTTATGGTAACAGCACAAACTGGAATTGGCGGGACAGCCTGGGGATTTCCTTGTCAAAACAAATTTTGAGCTATAAACTAGTGATGGCTGCAACATTTACGCAGTATGGCACCTTGTGTGTAAACAATACCACCCTGTTAATTTATAAAATTGAAACTCAGAAAATGGTGTCAATGTGTCGTTGATAAAAAAGACTCGAATCAAATGCACAAATGAATTTGATTGGAAATTAAATACAACTTCATCCGTTTAGTTTAGATTTTGAACATTTAAGACCGGAAAGCAAGGTTAGAGAGGCGACACCAACAGGGAAACCTTTTGCACATTTTGGCTTAGCTTAAGCAGATCCAGTATTAAAAGGCCAACATACAGACGCGAAATCAGTCTCTCACAAGGCTGGTGTGAACATAACGGCCAAAATGAGGTGGATTTGATGAAGGGCCAAGAACTGACACTATAAAGGCCAACGTGAACACAGCGATGGCAAGCAGTACAAGCTAGAATGGATGTGATACAAGTCGGTATGTGCATGTACAATGTGTAGATGCCGATATCCAAGGGCAGATGCAAGGGGGAGGTTCAATTTGGGGGGGGGGCGATAACCACCAAAAAGAGCTAAAAAACAGTGTTTGAAAAGAAATAAGAGGAAGGCGTTTTTTGGCTTGTTGACATCGCCAATATCATGACTGTCATCCAACAAATTTATTGCGGTTTTCGATTTCCTGACGAAACACCGACAGCAAGTTCAAGTACAGTTGGATTCAAATATCAGTGTACCAGAATCAAACTTGCCCAGCATGCAACGCGGTGAGCGCACCGTGACGTCATCACGCTTCCGACCTTTCAGAAGTGCGCTTACTTGGCACGCGGTAAGCGAAACGTGGCGTCATCACGTCCCGGGCCAATTGGTAGGGCACTTACTTTGGATGGTGAAGCTGTACTTCCAGGACCAGATCCGGCGGGATGTTGAAGAGTTCTGGGTCTTCACCGTTCGCTTGGAGAACCAACGGGAGCACATCAAACCGTCCTTGCTTGTCGGGATGCCAGCCCAACTTCTGCATGCAGATCTGAAAAATTAGAGAACACCATTACGTGGGGCCTTTGTAAGTTCTGCTTTCAGTAAACATACCTTGTCTGAAACCCTGCTTACAAGCGAAACCGATTTCCTTCAAACAGTATAACCCACTGTTTACCATGACAGTTTGCACAAGACCTTTTCTACCCTTGATTTAAGCACCTGGGGGAGTTTTGATTAAGTCATGAACTTTAAGAAAAGATCTACGCAAACGGTCCGTCCAAAAGAGGCAAATGAAAATGCTTTCAAAGTTACAATTTTCTACCTCTCGAAGGCCGGAGGTCTGGTCAGAAATGAATCAATTTTTGTTTTTTTTTAAGAGAAACTAACTTTCAGACTCATCATTGCACTCTTTTCCGACCTCCCCTGGTACTTCCTGGTATATCCCTGGTGATGCATCAATCCATTTTCGATTCCATCATACCTCTGTGAATTCGACGTTGGCCGGGTCGCCAATGATGGAACCGTCGGGCTGCTTGTAGCCAGCATACGAGATGAGCTGGGTGTTCCAGACTCGAAAGTCATGTTGGCCGTCAGTGCGATGGGGGAAGATGGTGATGGCCGATCTGTTGACACGGAAACAAAATTTAGATTTAAGGATTAAAATATCTCGGCGACACGAAAAATTCTTTAAGAGTGCAGTATGGTTGAGTACACAAGATTGGAAAGCTGAACAAGAGTTGTGCCAGGGTAGTTATTTTAGCAAGGGGTCCAGTTGCTGAGACCTAGACGCATGGTGGTTGAAAAAAGAAATAAAAAGCAGAAATATTGAGCAAGGTAGTTCACAAAGCAACCGATTCTTGGTATTTGGTTTTTTTTTCTGCATGCTGTCGCGCATAATCCGATCATTTCTCTTCAGAGGAAAATCGTGCTTCCGTAAAATATAGCGACCGCATACCTGGATGAATGTAACAGGAAACTAAGAGGAAACTTCTTTTGGACACTTTTTTTCACTAAGAAGGTTTTAAAAGTTCTTCGATCTGGGTTGGGAAGTGATGGTTGGTAAAGGGTCTAAGACGCACCTGAGATTGCCTTTATTCGTGGCGTAGTTCATGTGGTTACAGATGGCGTCGAACATCTGGTGGGTGCTGGTCGTGTTACGAGCATCAAAGACCTGACGAGTCCGTGCCAATGACAAGGGTTACTTAGAGCTCAGAATTACAAGAGTTTTACATATGATCCACGGTATATGAAAGAAAATTAGATCAATTTTAAACAGATAGGAAACTGATATGTCTCAATGGATAATTGGCATGGAATTTAAAATGATTCGGGTATAATTTTGGCCAATGTTGGAAATAATCTTCTGAGAACTGGCATTTTAGCGTTTTTTTTGTCAACAAGGAGCATATATCAGTAACGGCAGTATTAAAATGTTGGTTTTTTTTATATTCATGGACAGCTGAGCCACCTGTAGTTTTGTCCACTGTATTCTCCCGATGCAGCGTGGAGCGTTACGCCACGCCGTCTTGGCACCAAGGATCAGCTCGGTCTCGGTCAGGTCGTAAGTGCCTTTCTTCTCAATGGATTCCACCACCACCTGCAGGCGCTTCTTGTGGGCCGGGGTGTCGAACCTATTGGTTTGCAATCGAGGAGGGGTTACAAACATCAGTTTGTGGCGACAATGTCAATGGCGCCCTCTTGTCTTCAGAAGTCACGATATGGGGGGATGTTGCAACGAAATGGCTTTTGGGTATGGAATTATGACAATGGAACAGATTCCGCAATAAAACGTCAAATAAATAATAAAAAGGTTTAGGAAAGACACGGCTTTTGTTGCAGTTTTAACTCGCTACACTGCCAAAACAATGGCGTTAATCTAACACGTTCGGTGTTATTAGAGGACTACACCAGACTGGCTGAAGTCTTCTGATACACCACAGTTTTTGCAGTGTAAGAATTTCCACTGCTCATCAAAACGATTAAAGATTAGTCTGGATGGAATTTAGATTGTGTTGGGGTACGATCGGGTACGGCTTCGATAAGTTCTAGGGTATGGTTCGTGATAAGTGTTGGTGTTTTTCGTGTGAGGTTTGGGCCGGTTGGCATACATAGTGTGGACCTCCTCACAAAAGAAGTCCACATAATATTAGGTTATAAGACGCGTGGACGTCCACGCAGTGTTTTCGGCTTTCTGAAAAACAGGCTCAGTGGTATTTTCGGGTAAGGGTTTCCCTTGCCAAAAGGAAGAGGAACAGTGCAGGAAATCCTCGCCAAAAATCCCGCTCGAAAGAGTTTACCGGGATCCTTGCAGGATATAAGTGTGAATTTTCTCCCCGAGTCTTCTTTACCACGGGATAACAAGGGAATGTCCACGCTGGGTATGGGAACAAGCCATGACCGTGCTTAGGGGAGGTTTTGGTGTGGTTCAGTAAAGGCGTGGGTATAATTCGAACGCAACGGGGGCCTTTGAGACGCTTGGTGGCGACAAACAAACCAGTCCTTTTACTCAGTCCTGAGCATGCGTGCATAGTTCTGAGCACGCGCAATACCTTGAAAAAGGACTGGTAGGACTGTTGCCATCAGCGTGTCAAAGTCTCCCATTGGGTATACTCCGACGAGGATTGGCCGTGTTACGTATGTGACATGCATCTGGTGGGGGGCGTGGCCGTTGGTCGCGTAAACTCGTACCTCTTGATGTGGGTGTAGTATTGGTTGATGAAGTCTGTGGCATGCTCGATAATGGTTTCCTTGCTGCGGGATCCAGCCTTGCGAGGAGGGAACATGATCGAACCCATGCAACGAGATTCGCTACATTGTAGCGGCTGAAAGGATAAGAAACAACAAGGGAAGAGAGCTTAGATAAAAAAGGTGGAAGCGAATAATTTTGAAAGATTGTTTAATTCATTTGTACTTTAGCTGTTCAACCATAAAATGTGTGCGATAATACGGGCTATTCACAATACTGCGCCTCCAAGAGTGTGCAACGAGTTGGCCAATCACAACGCTCAAAATTTGTTGACCCTTTCCAGACGCGCATTGGGTCGACAATTTTCGCGCATTGTGATTGGCTAACGCATTGCACACTCTGGAAGGCGCACTACCGTGAAACGCCCGTATTGTGTGAACCCGGTCTTTAAGACCGGGTCCCAACAGTACAAAGAATGAAAACAATAACACTAAAAAGAATTGAAGTCAAGGTAAATCTGTTGACCAAGGATTATCTTCAGTTCTAGAGAAAGAATTTAAACAATTTGGTCGTCAAGAAGAATTATTAAACGATCATCTTTGAGATGCAATTTGTCATTCTTACGGCGTTGAATAAACCCGAGGTTAACAGCGATCGAACAGGCCAACTGATTTTTGAAAATACTGGCGTGAACCGGGGTTTGCATTCAAAGCAAACACGGTCTTACGAGGTATGCCTCCAGCGGAGCTGGGAGCGGTTTTTGGCGCACTCGGTTTTTTTTTCGGCGCACACGCCGTGTCAGATCCGAATGAAAACAGTTTGTCACTTTTGGCCGTGGGGGCCGGATGGCGCGGCGGTGGGATTAATGTACGAATGATTGCAACGGTCTGGTGTGGACCTTTCGCTGCTCAGGCTTTGTAGAAATCCGGAGGCATTCTTGGAGACTCGGAGAATCAGGTTTGATCAAAATGTTAGTGATTGGGATTCTGAGATGCCGCAATTATAAACAGAGCGTGTAGACTGGGAATGCAAGCTGCAACCCGCAGCACCTATCCTTGGTAAAAACCATCGTTCATCTGCGGTCATACCAAATTTACAGCCAGATACAGTATTTCTGAATTTTAGAAGGCTTGATTTTCAGTTGTAAACTCAATTAAACGGATTTATTCTGCCAGTTTTTGATGTCCTATGATTTATTACGGGGGGTCGGGAGAGTTGCTGGACCTATGTACCGTCTGCGGTTGGCTTTCGGTTGGAGGCAGTCGGCGCCAAAAGAATAAGAAAATAGGCCAGGCGTGAGTAAAGCTGTACAAGAGCCTGCCGAAGGGGGAGGGTTTCGGTCCCTTACATTGGAGGGGGCAAACTATTGCGTGTTTGGCCCCAGTTCAATCAAACACAAATGGCATCAAACTCACTTGCTCAGCAATCTCAACTGACGACCAAAATTACGCGGGAAAGGAGCGTGATGTGATTTTCGCTGTGGACGCGCGCGCTGTTGCCCGCGGCAACATAATCAGGCAATGTCATTGGAGTCTTACAGCGGTCAGCAATAAGCAAAGGAATAAGACCGCTTGTGGTTACAGCCAATATGGGTCAAGATTTTCGTCAGCATTTCGGGGCATTCTGTCAGTGTTGCTTTCAGAAACTCAAAGACTTACAGCATTTGACTCTTTCCAAAAATCTTTCCGGTGCTGTTTTTCTCCAATGTGTGACAAATCGCAAATTTTTGAAAACTTGTCACGATTATGGAATATAATACGACATTATGATACGACATCTTCCACATACGCGTTTCAATTTTCTTGGTGACATGTTTAAACTGATTTTCAAAGCTTAGATCGTAACACACCTTAGTTCTTTACAGTGTGACCTCTTTACAGTGTGACCACACTTACAGTGTGGCCTACTTTAATCTTCTGGGAACAGATTATCCCAAATCAGCTCTCATTTTTTGACATTATTAATGCTACCCTTAAAAGGAAGTTAGGAGTTTGAGAAAATAAAGTTCATTTTCAAGAACCTTTCCAGTTAATAAAGTCCAGTGACGCATTGTTTATATTGGAACTCTATAATCCGGATAACCGCAGATGGCTTTGAGATTTTCAATACACCTTTTTGTAGTAATATATACAGAATGATACGGTTTCGGCACTGTGTTTCAACTGATCGCGTCAACGCCGTTCTCAGTTAATAGTCACTTTAGCGCTCCCTAGTTGGGCATGTACAGTGCAGACTCTAAGATTCCGTGTCGAGTTAACGAAACTCTATCAGCCAGCGGTAGTACAGCACGAGTCGTCATGGTCGTGTGCTATCCCTCATTACCGATAAACAACGACGTGGCGGGAAAGCTGATATACTTCATATTTGGCCGATCGCTCGTCGAGCGAGTAAACAGAGTCCCCCTATAATGTCACTGGGCTCGCGTCGCCTGGGAGCGAGAGGTGACGGTGTTTATGCGATCAAGTGGCATTAAAAAAACCCACAGAGCACGACCCAAATGTCACCAAATGGCACGTGGCCTTTTAAATCAAAGGCTTGCCAGATAAATTTCTTTGAAGGAAAAATATACCTCCGTGACGTCGCGGGTTAACTATAAACGCCCGGTCGGAGGGCGTTTGAAAGCACTGAATGAACTTAGCTCTTCGCCAACTGATTATGAAAGGACGAATGTAACTGTAATATACATTTTCAGGTTGTGTTTTCACAGTGAAAACGGGAACCTATATTTTCAACTCTAAAGTTAAGACTGAGTGCAAAACGTTTGTCGATTGAAGTAAAGGTTACGTTTTCATCTTTCAAATTATAACTAATTAATTTGCTCTTAATTCTTTCTTCAGTGCCAAAGGTAGTCGTTCTTGGTACTTCCTCAAGTTCAATTTCACGAGGTGAACATTAATCTGAAATTTGTGACTAAAAAAACTACTAGACTTGTATATTTTTGCTCCTTACGGGTCTGTAATTTCACTCATTATGTTGAGGTTTGGTATAAGTATTCACTAGCGCTCTGTGGTGTCGAATGAACACTATTTCATATCTAGGCTGAATACTGATTCTCGTTAGTGTAAATACACAAAGTGTTACTTTAACACCAAGGTTTTCTACAGCGTAAGGATTATTCAGTTCTCGGTTCCGAAGGAAAGAATCCTTTGACTCCTACATTTACACAACTCATTAACTTTACTGGAATTACACCGCAAATTTCAAGCGATAAACTTCGACCAACTTTGGGACTGGATGTGCCCTAATTTTTGGTCAGTATATTAGGCAAACATCAACTTGTTGAGCATTAATTGCTTGAATTTTTGTATAATGTGTACTTTGAGATTTGTGTTCTTTTTATGATGTAACATCACTTAGGAGGCAAAAGTAACATTTCGGTATATACTTGAGTTTTCGGTCATTTTGCATATTTATTTAAATTGGATTAAGGGGAATAGTGAATAGTGCTGTGTGCATATCAAACTTTGTGCGATCCATGGCAGCCTATTTTCACGATTATATTCGATGAGAAATTCCAATATGTTTTGTTGAACCTATTTCATGATGAAAAGTTATATTTCATATGTAATAGTCTGGTAACGGTACTTACGGCTATAGACTTCTGGTGCAATGTGTCTGTTGTCTGTTTCCCATCCAAGAGGTTTTTCAGACGAACAAATTTCGGTTTGTTGGCCCCGTTGGAACCCTTGTTGGTGCCGTTCTTGCTCGACTGATTCTCGCCGATCTGTGAGCCCATGAGGTCGGTCTGGATCTCGATCTCGGCAGTGCAGACCTTGGCCGGCTTGACGGCGTTGTTGTTAACTTCGGTGGGTATGATCTCTCCCTGGTAGGCCGCCGGGCGGACTTCTTTGGAGGGTAGGGTCGGGCTATTCTTCTGGGGCGGGGGTGCTCGCAAGATGCTGGTGGTGGACATGGCTGCGTCTCCGTGGTTAGACTCCTCGGTTGTGATCTGTGTGGCGGAGTCCTGCCGCCCTATATGCGGCCGGGGCTCGCTGGCGGTGACTTTCACGCTGAGGTCAACCCCATTCACGGCTCCCACCGACGGCCTCTTCTGTGACGAAGGCGAAGTGCCTTGCACAACAATGACGCGCTCGGGCCATTGTGTGCCGACCGATTCAAAGGGCCTTTCCGGGGAGCCATCCACTTGCGGGAGACAATTCTTCGCCGGTAAGCGATCGCCGTCGCATTCGTAGTCGACAGAGGGCCGAGGGCTGTCGAAGTTGTACAAGTCCTCGATGCCAAGCCGGAACTGGTAGACATCCCTTGGGAAGGTGCCGTTCCACGCTAGCACATTCTGGTAATCGGTCCCGCTGGCATGCTGGTGCCTGCTAGACACGCAGCAGCAGGCGGACGGGTCTCGGTAGGAGTAGCCCCTGACGGGGCTACCGGGTAAGCTGCTGCGGGCAGGGGAGCGGCTGGATTCACGTCTGGTCCTGCTGGAGCTACGTATAGGGCTAGCATAGCGATAAGAACTTCCCTCCACCGCTCTGCCCCGGGTTCCGGGGTAAGTAGACCCAGAACCGTACGCGGTCCCCCCAACTGCGTCATAGGTTGGATGGTTGCGCTGCCAGCACGGTACAGGATTCCCCACCGGTGGGGGGCTATTTCCTGCATCTCTATGACCCTTACTCTTCTTCCTTCCCGACCCTTTGTCGCGCGACAGGGAATCTGTATTGATCTCCTCGGTGACGCGCACCACTTTGACCGCCCCGTCCGGGGTCAGAATGCTCTCCAGCCGCGTTCTGTAGCCGTCTGGGCCCCGCATGACCAGGACCGTGGGCGAGTCCATGGGGACGCTCCTCAGGACCTCCAGGGCCGTGGAGTAAGGGACATCGGTAAGCTGGACGCCATTGACCGCCAGGAGAATGTCCCCGACCTGGATCAGGCCCGACTGGTCCGCCACGCCGTCGGGGATCAAGTCGGATATGATGACCGGAGGGTTAGTTTTGCGCTTGCGCACGAGGAAACCCAGTCCGTGTGGTGGTCTTTTGAACAGTCGCACCGTAAACGTGTTCGGCTCGTTTTCCATGGTGAAGTCTCAAACTTACGCCTCCAAGAGCATGAGCAGACGATCTGGGGACCAAAGGGATGTTTTGGCTGTGTTAGACGTCTGTTTTGATAACCTCCGTTGTAAAAAACCAGGTGTTTTGTCCCTCAGCGAGACGATCAAGTTATCTTTTCGCACATGAATTGTAAAGCACAGGGTAGGGCATTCAGTCCATCAAGCAAGCGCCTCAAAACGGCCAGACTCTAGCAAAACATCAGAAGTCAAGAACCGTGCACTAATTGGGACGTTCCTCAAAGTGCAGATGACACGCGGTTCGTTCTGTCGCTAATAGTTCAACACGAGGTCCGGTTTAGTTGTAGGAGACCCGTTCACAGCACGTGACACCAATTACACTTTGCCAAACTGCCCTCGTATGTGAGGGACGAGGGGTTGATGGGAGTTCACGTGACCTTTAGCTGACGCCACCGGGGCGGCTGACAGGCGCTGACCAGTTAATAAGGTCCAGTTGGCGGGAACTCAATTCCAGACGGAGAAGATCGGGTGAGGTCTCGAAAGAATAGCGTTTACTCAAAAAACCTGACAGAAACAAAGCAAGAAACATCGTAAATTAGAAAAAAAAAGATCACCACGAAAATATGAAATTATTCGTTAATAGTCATTCACATTCTTAAATATTTGAGGCTTTAACAGTCTCTGGCGTTTTGTGAGATAAAATATAACCCTAACCACTAGGTGAAGTGTGCGGTTTGCTAATTGTCTTGCTTGGTTTAGCATGGTTGAAGCAAATCTTGACCTTGAATCGAAAAAGGTTGATTCAAGCTTGGAACCACAGACAGCTTTTAAGACATGTTCAAAATTATTCCCCAACCACAGTATGAAAAAAAAATCCATTTTGCCTAACATCTCACAAGCTTCTGAATAACACCTTGTTACATTTAAACTTAACGGTCTGCTGTATATATTCTAGGCAATTGTCTTTCTGTCAAGTCCGGAAAATTCAATATTCGTGGAAAAAGCAAATAGTAGGTCTCAACACTGAGTGATCACAACACCAGGAGCGAAAATTGAGGCTTTTTTTCATTTGCAATGTTGCTGTGACTTGTGTAGAAAGTAGAAAGAAGAATATATTGACCCAAGTTTGTTTGACTTCTGGTGACATGATGTTGCGCATGACCGACTTTCGAGTGCTAGAAGAAAGTGTACCGAGCAACGTCGAGAAAGTATCAAAGCCACAGGGCTCAAAATATTGTTGCATTACGGGCGGACGGATCAAATGTTAAGGTATGATGAAACGCAGCGCCCGCGGATGATGACACCCAAATGGGCCACAAAGACGAGGTAAGGGTTATCTTATGAATGACAATTTCTTAAACGTGTCGTCATCACTGGACTGGTACAAGACACTGAAAGTAGTTAACCAAAGAGTGAGGTAAGAAATGCTTCGGCCTCATCTGATCACAATTTCAGTATCCTTAGGGCTAATGTCTTTACCGATGATATTGGTATCTCTTTCAATGCATACATTACACCTTAACACAAGATCAAGAACCCTTTTACAATCCCAAATCACCCCCTCCCCCCAAAAAATGGTGATGTCGAGTTAACTCAGCATTTTATTCGAGACGAATGGTTCGATGTGATCTCTGCAGTTTCCTCAAAGTCTAAAGGGGGACCGTTGCAGTAAAGCGGCTTGCTCGTGAACATGAGCAGACCCGGATCACACAGGCGAACGGCGCAGCACGCCTATGGCAGTGTTGGCAGGAGGAGCTGCAAAGACTCGTCATCACTATAAGCTGCGTGGTTGTTGACTGATGACCTTACCTTGTCACCTCATGAGATCTGAGGATACAATCCCTCATGCAACATGACTGTAATTTGATTAAAGGAGGGAACGGCAACATGAAAAATGAATGCTAACTGAAGATGTAGTAATGTTTATCCCAGCCGAAGTTGAAACTTGTTCTTGAGATATTTTTATCACACTGTCAAAGCAATTAAATTTAAGAGTAAAATCAGCAAAGTTTTACCTGTTGGTAACGCAACTCTTAGACGTCTATCGTGATCTTTTTATAAGAGCAATTTCATACAACTATACATTATCGATTGTGAAATTACTCAATTACATTCGATCAACATACACTCTACGCCCTAAGGCTACAGGTTAAGTGTTCACACTACTTCATCGTTTACTTCAGCAATAAAGGAGGGTGAACATTACACGATATAGTGCCAAACATGGGCGGACAACCCGTGGGATGGGGATATATCCCCCACTTGTTGACCTGGGGATTACCAATAAAATCATGCACCCCCCGCTTTTCAAGTCACTGACTTTATGCGCACCCCTACATTATAGCTCGCACCGCCGACTCTGCACTTGCTGAAGTCACGATCTCACCTGGGAAGGAGGCCGTGCTGAGCTTGATGGATGAAAACAAATCACCCCCACATGTGACAAGAAATCTCCGCCCATGGTGTCAATCCAAATGTGAGTTATGCAAGGTTGCGTTATTTATGTTAAGTATATTAGTAACCGCAAATCGACGCAATACGTAGTCCTGTTTCCAAAATTTAATTCAGTCCTTAATTAATAACTCCTCTGGCAACATAGATCAACATCGATCGAACAAACCAAAAACAAGGATAGCGACCAACTGCACTCTTAAGGAAACTTCCTGGAAGTGCGACTATAAGCACGAAGCTTGCCAAGCGTCGAACGTCGCATGAGCCAGCACGGCTTGCCAGCAAAGATACCATTCGGAGTGCGTATAACGGGTTTCCAGTCGTGTTTCCTGGCTTACAACTTCAGCTTTCTACCGCTTTAATGGCGGCTTCCTGAAATCGGGCCCAAAACACACAAAGCCACTATGTTTTCGTAAGAGTATGGTTCTGCTGTGAATGCAATGTCTAGTGACCGTTAGGGGATAATGTATCCTAAACCTACAGCTCACAATAACATGCATGAATCAAACATATGATATATTAGGTCCCTGTTAGCTTGAACTGAAAAAAAGAAGATTAAGTAAACCTACCAACGCAAGTACCGGTGTTACACGTCAACTGTGGTCCAGTGTATCAGACACACAGTAGACATCACTATCGTGAAATTAAGACTTAGTATTCAGCCGTTAATGAAATCTGGGAAAGTGTGCGGGGAAGGTGTTTCGTCGTCGTCAGGTAGCCTTGGAACGTGTCGTGTATGATACACGGCCCGCAAAATCTCAGCAGGACAAAATTACCACAAGTCTGTGCTGCCTTGGTCGAAGCTGCCCTGGTCCGGTACAGACAGAGCGCGATTTCCAATCGGAACCTAGAGAGCAATCTTACCTGGAGGAGAGCACATCATTCGCCATTCATATGCAATCCGAAAATAATGAACTGGAAATGCATCTTTACTGTTCGTAATTTTTTTTTACCTATTTTGTTTTATCCATTGTAAATTTGAGCGGCGAAATAATAATTGAAATGAAATCTTAAACTGTGCCCTAGATCTCTAGCCTGACATTGTTCATGGCGCCCACTCATTCCAGTGTCCAAACGTCCTCGTTCAAGATCCTTTCCATGGTCTGCTGACCGTAGTAAGTGACTACTTACACCCTTGCTCCTTTTGGGTCACGCCCACGCTCCCCGCACCCTCCTTCACTGTCAGACGGGTTGTTGAAAGCGTGAGAACACGGGGATTCGGGGGTACCCGCGTCTCCGTTTTCAGTTCTAATCTCAAATAAGCCTCACGAACAGAAGGTCTTCGTCAAACGACCGGCCGACTGTCTTCATCCGACCGTGATCTTAATCCGCCCCCGTCTCCCTCTGCTCTGAGAGTCTGATTTGGCCCCTCCAGCCTCGGCCACCGCGGCATCAAGGAGACACTTTTCACTCACTTTGTTCATTAAACGTCTCGAGTCAAGACATCATTGAAAGATTTATGGTCTAGCTAAAGTACAATACACCCTCTGGGTTGGAGAAAAAAATCACTACAAAAAAAAATTCTACATCCGCCACCCTGTGTTTTTAGTAACGTTTACTTTTTCGCCAGAAATCGCCAGAAACTACTTGTCTGATCCCGAACCCAAAAGGTTGAATTTCAAGGCCGTATCGTCATTATTAAGTTTTCAGCTCGCCGCAGGTGCAAATGACAAAGACATTTGACGCTAGACCCAGGCCTCGTCCTAATCTCAGCGATTCCTGTAATTTCTCCCGGGATTTAGGTCGGCTGATATTTACCTTAGAGCGATCCAAATAAAAGCCACGGTTAAAATTTAGATTTGCCGAACTGATATTTGTAAAAAACCCCTGGGATGGAAGTTGTCAACTGTGATTTTTTCTTTTCAACAGCTTGGTTTTGGAGACAGCCTGAAATGCTCGGGAAGTCCGCAAACACCATTACAAATCAACGAAATAAATGACAGCGACAAATCCGGAAAGCAGGGGCGCTTCCGCAACCCAGCCAATTATTCGGGGGGGGGGGCTTCCCGTAACCTTTTTTACCTTTTGAGGGTGAAGTTACATTTTGGGGCTTTAATACGCTTAGAAAGGAAGGGAAAATAGGAAAATCCCCAAATCGCTTTCTCTCACTGTTTAAACAAAAATGACATTTTGGGGAGTGTCTTTCACCCCCCCTTGTGCCTCCGCCCGGATTGCCCTTGCCCGAAAGTTTGCTTGTTTGTTTGGCTGTCGTTTGCTTGCAAGTTGACCGGAACATTCCGGCGGGACACTTCATTAATAGTTCATCAGGATTGATAGAATAGTTCCGTACTCTCTCGAAACTCCACAAAAAAGATAGCGAAATAAAATCTTACTCGCCCGAGGCAATGAACTTATGTTACATTTCTGGGTGAATGGATAATTGGACAAAAACTCCCTTTCCATCTTAAATTTTATCTCCTTTCAATACAAATTTTTCGCATTTTTTGGCCAAACCTCTAAAGGAAATAAAAATGTGCCAGATTCTAACCGCAAACTTCCAGCACAAAAGTAAATTCTTTCCTCGACCTTTCAAACGAAGAATATCTAGCCGGTCAAAAAAAGTCCAGAGCGAAGAAGGAACTTTATGTCTCGTGGAAATGGCATTGTCGCGAAGGGACATTTTGGAGTCGTGAAAAAAGGCCCACCTCAATCAACGACGGATTGAAACGAGACAAGACAACAGCTGAGGCGAGGGTCCGATTCAGCCACGGGCCCTGAATATCACGCGTGGGCCGCACCCTTTCAAATTTGCGGTTTGACACTTTTTGTGTATAGTTCCCTTCCAGTCGGAGGAAGTCTGCCGGAGTTTCGAGGGCGGTCTTCTTCGACACGAGATGCTCGGGAACTTTTCCTCACCTTGATTCGCGAGCCTCCATTACGACTGCACCGCAAAAACCTATAGACACAGAGTTTAATCTATGGTCGCACGACATCTGCGTTTAGCAACATTTACATTGCGTGTTTTTCTAACCACTTCTTGTTTAAAAGGTTTGACGAGTTTGAGCTAAATACTTGGCAAAATAGATTTTCAGAAATATACACAATGAAGTAGTTGCCAAATGGACAAAAATCTCCTAAACTGCCGGTTACTCATTTCAAATGAAAAACTGTTT